GGCTGACGACTCATTGCATCTTTTTTATTCTCGACATAGTAGCTGATCACTCCTTTGCCTCTTCAATCTCTAAACCACCTTGGTTTCAGTGACATCGCTCTTTCTAGTTCTATTTCTTCTCCTTTAAGGCAGCCCGTAGGGTTTGTTCTACCATCTGCCATCGAGGTTAATCTCTTTATATCCAAAGTCAGCTGACCACCTTCAAATTTTGATTTGTTTTCACATTTTCTATCTCGGAGAACGACAGCACCCGGTTGCCTAATCCAGGGTCCTAGTCACCACTTTGATTCCTCCCTGTGCTCCTCCAGTGAAGACCTTGAGTACACATCCTAACAAACGCCATCATCTCTTCTTCACATCCACACTTACAAGTCCACTTCCATATAGAAGAGGAAAGAGAGGTTGTGAGTTCAGTGTGGCAGGACATTTATAAAGTGCCTGGTAATCTTTTTTTTTTTTTTTTTTTTTTTAGACTCTCACTGCATGAGATCTACTTCATTTTCAGCATAATTTTTTTTCAAAGAAATACTAAGTATAACATTGGACAAATCACTTGAAGTCCTTACAAATGCTCATCTATAAAATGATCTTTACGTCTTTATGCTATTTACACTAACGTTTAGTGGTCGTGGGCTACTACATAGTTTATACTTGAGATTCTAAAAGGCCAAGCGAGAACAAAAAATACATAGGAGAAGAAGACAGAAAGAATAAAGGCTGTTTCGGAGAAACATGCCATTATTGTTAGAATCGAGAAGCCCCTGTCCCCTCAGTCCGTGTCACTCTGAGAACCACGCCTCTAGTGCTGTCACTGATGAGACTGTACCGGACGAGAGCACGTGTGGCCAGGCGGACCCAACCCCTCAGTTCTCAGGAGAAACCATTGCACAGGCCGAGTCTGCATCACGAATATTCAGCCCCTTTCTATCAGACTATTAATGTATTTCTATCCTCTCTACTATCAGCATTACAGATGTATAATATATAAAATGTCAGGAATTTATATAGTAATTAATTGATCTCTTGAGAGGAAAAAAAAAACAAGCAGAAGTAAACGTGTGAGGAAGAATATTCTACAACGCATTTAGAAGTTTGTTCAGTGAGATAAGGACCGACGAAGTCTGTCCTGTAACACCACTCTGCTACCTCAGATACCGAAATCCTGAACAGGAATCACTGAACAAGGCTCAGGGGGATGTAAAATGCATGCCTTACTAACTCTTGGACGTCTAATTTCTTGGTCATCAATCCTATTAACTTGTATTACCAACTGCCATAAAACTTGCAGATAGAAGATAATTTATGCTCAGTGTACAGAAGCTAATGTTGCTGGACTCCTGAGAAGCACTGATCAGAAAATGAGAAAGTATGTATGTGACACCAGGAGCCATCCACACTCTGCACGGCTGGCGTGGCAAACACGGGACTGTCTTCATAAGGGATATGGCCTAACTGGCAACTGACATCAGTGGTGTTCATGTCTAAAATGTCTCTCATTAATGTCAAAAAATCTCCTGCTAATAAAAGGCCATATATCTTATTAAGAACACATTTTTGGAAGTAAAGGGTGGATGCTTTCTTTTAAGGGAAGAGCTATAAGGCATTTCGTTTTTAATGGTCTATTTAAAAATGGCAGATTAAACAGTCCTTCAAAGTAAGTAAATGCTGCCTACTGAGGTTTTCGTTCCTAACGACATTTGAATCATAGAGAAATATAGCAAAACACAACACAAAAGCCTTTATATACTAAAAAGGCAATCAGCTAAAAAATTCTAAACATTTTCCCATATTTAATATAGACCCAGAACTACACTATTTTCTCCTTGTTTTAAAACCCAATTTGTAATGAAGAAAAATAAGTCACAGAAAGGGAACTGAAAAGAGAACAGAGATGAAAGACTTGAAGCTGCAACAACCCAAATGACTTTAAGTGGCTTTTGCTACGAGACACGCAGGTGAATCCCAAATGACTCACGCAGGGACTCTAATGAATGGAGGATGAGTACGTATTTATACAACATGGTCTCATGAGAGCCTCACATGAAGACTCTCTGAAAGAAACACAGAACATTACAGAAAAACTAAGAGGATCTGCAGGTAGGGAAGCTTTTTTAGAAAGATTAAGCACATTTAGCCCACTGGTCTAGGGTTACGCCAGCCACTTCACGGTCCTGTAGCAGACACAGCACGAAAACATTTATCAGCCAAACAGTTCTCATAAGATGTCTCATTTCTCCTGCTATTATCTTCAATTTCATGCAACCTATAATTATAGAACCAATTCTAGAAAATAATGTCCTCAAAAATACCACTCACAATAACATTTATATTGAATTTTACCACTTTATAAGTATTTTAGCAAAGCTCAATGATAATCTCATTTAATTGGCTTAAATGATAAAGATTCTTGTTGTATGCAGATTTTGCTACAGTTGAACCTTCGGCGTCACTTGGTTTAATTTATGGGTACAGTAAGGTGTGATATACCCTTAGAGTGTAGCCAAGGTCTATCTTATTTGAAAATATTATGGAGAGTATATATTTTTATACATACACATCTGGCCACTGAGTTACACACTGTTTATGAATAATTGGATCGTGACTTGTTTTTCAGAGTTTGCCATTTGCATCCGAGTCCACTAACCCCACGGAAGAGGAAATATAGTGGGACAAGAGCTGCGTCATTGTACCATATGAAGCGAGACTCTTGGTGGAGAGAGAAATATAAATAACACTCCTGCCGGACTGTGAGGGAACTGCCCAACCAAACCTTGCTCTCTTTAGTTGAAAAGACAGAACAAGTCTCCTCTGAGGGTTTGTAACCAGAAGTCAAACTCACAGCAGAATTACCTTCAAATTTCATTCCACCTACACATCTAACGTCTCAAACGAAATAGATACCTAAGTTATTAATGCCTACAGATAACTGGGCGAGGAGTCCACTCTCGGTTCTCCTTGAAATCACTTTTAGCTTGTATTTCAAATAATTCCCAAGGTAAAGTTCCTGGAAATCTGAGGTTATGGCCAAAAACAAAACACAGATGGAAGATTAAACATAAAAGACAGCTGATTCATAAAGACCACAGATGTTAGAATTATTCTAGACCATAAAATAAATATGGCAATTATATTTTAAGAAAGAGTCTTGAAAATGTGAGTAAAGAGTAAGCATGTAAGAAAGAAGAATCATGGCAGGAATTAAAAAATCGATGGATTTAGCAGCAAAATAGACACAGCTGAAGTGGAGGAGTGAAGTGGAAGACAGAAGGGATGAAGAATTTCGGAACGTAGCCCAGAGAGATTAAGACAGAGAATATGAAAGAAATGTCTGAGATCTATATGATACGATTAGAGGATCTCATATTTGTTTAGTTGGAGTTGCAGAAGAATGGACAAAGAGAACAGGGTGACACGATATTGGAAAACATAAAGGCTGAGTTTTCCAAACTGATGACAGTGATCTGCGGATGGGGGAAACCCAGCGACTCCCAAGCTGAACACATCTTAGGAAGTCCATAATCATGCACATTACGCTGAAGGTGCAGAACACCGAAAATAAAAAGATCGAAAGAACAAACGTCGTTTTTCACACGTGGACTTAGTTAATCCTCCAATTTTACTTTTTAAAAATTATTGTGCTGCGTGGTTAGCTGTCTAGTTATCTATTAACCAGAGTATCTACAAAGAGACAAGTTACAGTTGACCCCTACGGCAATCGTATCAGTTCAATATAATAAAGAAAGCTCGATGCATCACAATGGCAGAAAGTTTCAAACTTCGGAAATTGTTGGGAAATTACAGGCATTTAACAAATAATTAGAAATCCGAGAAGCACATCTGCGCATGTCAAACTATTACCTGAGGTCTTTTAATGACTTCTTATACCCTATGGCAAAAGAGTTCACACTCCAGTGTGTAGAATTCAAGGCTCTTCCTAACTAGATCGCCGACCAGTTATCTAGTATTAACTAGTCTTAACCTTTATATTTATTTTTTATAAATGTCTGCATCACTGGACATGGACTAGAGAGCAAAGATCGTATGTTACTTTTTTTTTTTTTAAATCCTCAACTGCCTAGCAGTACAACAGTTAGGTAGCTGCACTCTATAACTGTTTGCAGACTACAGAAATGGACAGTATGGTGTTTGAAAACTGAATTCTTTAGTTCCCCTTCCACATCTTACAAGCGATGCTCCAGAAATCAAATAGCCAGAACCAGAAAAAAATAAGCAAAAGTGGATGAACAATGCTGAGCATATATTACACCCACCATATTAATCAAACAATAAATTTTAGCCACTGACACGCTAGAGATGATGGACAGCAGACGGAACAGAGCAAAATTACCATGAAAGGTGAAAAAGGAAAAAAAAACCTGTCCGCTGTCTTTAAAAAAATATTACCAAGCGATTATTTTCCAAACTGAAATTCACCTGTCAACCTTATAAAATGTGTTTAATTAATGAGAATTCTGTTCTAAGCACTATGCTGATAGAATATTTCCTTGATGTCTCTCATTGGACATAAATGACATCATCATTATATATATTTATTCTGAGGCACTGAAATAAGCAGGCAATTTATGAACAGTAAAAGCTAAAGAGTCTGAGTGCTTGAGAAAAGCAAATCCAATTTCCAATTATAATGACAGCACTGAAAATACATGAGAATTCCATTTGAAATATCTGCCAAGCTTTGCGTTTCCTCTGTTGAGTTTTTCTCTCATTCGGTTGCTCAAAATGCAAAAGTTCTAAATTTAATTCTTAGTCAATTCAGTTAAAAGTCACAGAAATTTTTCCCCCTGGGTGCCCTAAAATGAAAACTTTGAGGCTCCTCTACAGTGACCAGAGGCAGCAGACGGAAGTCAACATAAGTAAGCAGACAGCTAACTTCACTCATGGTTCAAGGACAGGAACGGGCTGGCCTTTTCTCCTGTCTGCTCCAGTGTCAGTGGGGCGGGGGAAGCCAAGCGCTGATGTTAGGCTGGGTCTGCACTTACTGGCTGGAGCAGGTAGATGAGCGATTCCTCTTGGATGATTATAACTGGCGACGGAGTGATGCGAGGCGCTTGGAACAAGGTGCTCACGGAGGCCATGATCTGGTCGAAGCGCCCAGTGAGCCCTCCCAGTGTCACTATCACGTCCACCTAGGCGAGGCAAAGGGAAGCGGAGCGTCACAGGTTTAAAGAATTTTAATTAATTGAGCAGCATCAAACCCCTAAACAGAGCTTTCGAGATTACATTCTATCTGATAGGCCATCAACACTAGGTACCATTTCTGTTGTTCAGATGAAGGCATTAAGTCACTTGTTCAAGGTCACAATCTGTGAGTGCCAAGGTCAGGTTTCAAGACCAACTCTTTCAAGTACAAATTTTACATTTTCCCCACCTGCCTGTTCACCTGGAAAACCAGCAGCTCTTCCTTTAAAGCTGTTTACGTGTCCCCTCCGTGTGGCACTGCCCCCTACTCCCCCCTCGCCCCGGCTTCGCAGTTGACGCCTCTCCCGCCCACGGCACCACCTGTGGGCACTGTCCTAACACCCGGCACACGACGCCGGCCTGTTCTACAGACCTGTCACCCCACTAGAATGCAAGTTTCTTACTGTCTTTTTTATCGAACTTAGCAAGTTGCTAAACAATCTGTACCTCATTTTAATGTTCATATGTAAAAACATGAATAATGGCCAACTGAAAGATTGTCGTGGGGAATAAATGAGGTAATCACATGAGTTAATAAGCATAAAGCATTTAGAACATGTTTATAACATAGTGATTGTTTAAAAAATGTTTGCTACTCTTCTAATTATTTTTGATACTACATTTACATTACTATTAATACTTTTGTTATTGTTACATGTAGTTTCATGTTACTTTTTTCATTTACCACTTGAAAGACAGCATTTCCTATTATTAGAGTATAGTTAATTTCAATGTTTCCCTGTTGCTGAAAATACATTTCCAGGATATTTACATATAAAATTACTGTGATGCTTTACTTATACATGAGACGCTGGGTAAGTGTGGGCTGCAGGAAGTGAAGGGGTGCAGTAACAGTCTCCTTCTGCATCAAGTATTAGGCCATGGTCCCAAGAAGAATGAAAGAAAGAAGCCCTGCTCTCTCTCTGGTCAGCCTCATCTTACAGTCAGTGTATCGGCATAGTAAAAGGTAATATATTGATCATGAAAGAGGAAGGACTGAAGGGCTTAATTAAAATATTGTAAGAAAACCTTGTATATAATAAAAACTAACAGGAATAATCATTCCACCTGAAATAAACCAGAAATTATTTAAAAATAGAAGTATTTAGTTTCTAGGTTTTAAAATAGCACATTTTAAAAAGTGTAGATAATATTTAGTCCATAAAGACGGTGTGATTTTACAGAACAACATTACCCTGGCACCAATATTACCTGTCCCGTGCCTAGAGGAACAGTAAGTGACAGAAGCTCCAGGAAGCCAAGGACAGCGTTTGTCTGGCCTTGGTTATGGCCCCGGTGGCCAGCGCAGTGCCTAACCCATATAAGACGCCCCGGTGGCCAGCGCAGTGCCTAACCCATATAAGACGTTCCAGTGTTTGATGAACAAGTGAAGACACTGCAAGAAAGGATTGGTCAGCCTAAGGAAGAACTAGATTAACTGCCATATTGAAGGACTATAAAAAGCAGAATGAGATTCCATAAAAACACGAAAAGTAAATTGAAGAGAAGAACCTAGAAGTTTAGAATGAGTTTCCTGTTTCTGACCTTTTCAGAGTGTAGAGAGAATGGAAATTTTTACTTTGAATAAGATGTTTCGTATCAAAGCTAGAGTATTTTTTTAAGATAGGTACACCTCACATCTATAAGACTTAATACTAACTTTGGAGATCTTTCTAGAACTCTGTTAGATTCGGGGCCAAGAAGACCACACGCCCTAGCAAGCCTGTATTACTTTGAATACACAGGCAAAGGCAGGGACCTCTGTAACTTCAGAGGAAAGAGGTAAATTGTTCAGCAATTAGGCTCAAAACTGCCAAATATACACCTTTTGTTTGGGGTATCAAGTCAGGAAAATGGCTTCTATTCCTGTTCAGGAGATTGTTAATGAAGCCATACCCAACCAGTGAGGAAAGGCCTCAAAATTATACAGGATCTCAGAAAAAAACTAGAGAGAATTTGCTTTTAACTGAAGAGAAAGACATGAAATTGCATATGAAATTTAAAGGGGAGACAGTTCTAAGGCTCCAGTAAAAAGCACACTGGCACGTTCCGATCCGCATAATCTTACATTCACATCAGAAGCAAAGCCTGATGATACAACAGTTGATTCGCTATTCAGTCTGAGGAATCCCGTTTTCAGGTTCTCAATTTCTCATTACTATACTCTAAGCCTTGAGGGATCCCATAACCTTTAAGGCTGAAATGTACCCCCTTCTTTCACCCTGGAATATCATGATGAATAAGCAGTACCTGTAAATCAGTCGCTGAGTTTTTCAGAATAAAGCAGCAGCAAGATTACTTCTCATCACTATTCATTTTCCCTGCAGGAAGTACTTAGCGAGACTGATTAAAAACATTATGGGATCCATGCAAGGCACAGGTGAATGGGAGGAGCTGGCAAGGGACAGTACACACTCCTCCGGCTCTGACAGTGATGTAAGGAAGACATCTGATATTCACAGAGATGGAAGACAGGAGACAGACTCCCCGCTGCGTGTTTACATACGTTTTGCAGTAATACCTATGGGACAGAGTGTTCAGCCTGAAACAGACATTTACAGAATGCCAGGGTTCCTCTTCTGTGTGAACCCAAAGACCTGTGCATTTATTGCTAACATTGCCCAGTGAACTACATTTTTAAAACTATATTTTCCCAATGCCGCAGCATCCACACCCACAGACTGTGAGCACCGGCCCAGGAGACAGCGTGCACCACGCTGATGTGGCTGGTCCCTGCCACAAGTTCCCCTTCTTGCCCTCTCATTCTGGGACTCAGTGACATTCAACGCACCAATGAAACCCTCTCACGCTTTTGTGTGTGTATCCTACCCTGACCCCCAAAGGCACCTGACCACATGTCCTCGCTCTCTCTCTCCCGGCTCCCTGGCTCCTCCCATGTGGACCCAGCACAGCATGACATGCATGTCCCTCTCTAAGACCTGTGAGTATATCAGCCCTTTAATTTCATATGCTTCTTTGTGGTGTTACTCCACGTCCACACCACACGTGTCTGCGTCAGATGGATCATCAAAACCCTCCATTTAAGTAACATAATTATTCCTTTTTACACCTAGTCACACTGCTACAACAGTTGGTATACTTGTGTCTCTCTCCTATGGGGGCCTATGACTCACAGATGCCAGCTGCAGTGTTTGCAATGCAGGAGACAAGTATTCACTGAGCTTCCCCTAAGCATATAAAAACTCAGGAAAAACTGAATAAAAGAACCAGAGAGGCAAGGAGCTAATTATTAGGCTAAGTTAACATCATCTAATTCCTACAAAATAGTATTTGCCTGATTGGCAAGTGTTCCAATAATTAGTGACTTCTGAAAAGAGTAACTTAATTCACCTTTGTTACTTTGGGTAATATTTATTAATCATTTACCATGTGCTACATTCTATTCTAAACATAGAATATATCAGTAAAGAAGACAAAAACTCCAGCCTTCATGGAGTTGACATTCAAATGGAGCATAATACACAATTGACTGAAAAAAATTATATTCATCAGAATGTGAAAAAGTGGTACAGTAAGTGCTATCAGAGAATATCAGAGAAGGAAGAAAAGGAAAAGCAAAAATATGGGGGTGGTGTGGGGAGGAGGTAGAGGGGGACTTCAACTTTAAATAATATAGCTAAAGAAGGCCACACTGAAAAAGTAACAGAATATCAGCAAACACCTGAAAAAGACAAGGGCGTTAGCCAGCATCTAAGAACACGGGGCAGGATGCTTCAGAGGACAGACTGTATTGAGACCCTGAAGCAGTGACATGGCCCCAGGCATTTTCAAAGAGTATCAGGAGGCTAGTTGCTACAATTAAATGAGAAATTAGTGGCGGTCATAATAGAAATCAGAGTAAAATGTGCTAGATTTGTATAGAGAGTTGCCAAGCCATTTTAAAGTCCTTGATTTTTGTTAAATGGGGAGCCATTTTGAGCAGAGGAGTGACATGACCAATATATTTTAAAAAGTCGCTATGCCGGGTGTGTTGAGAATAAACTGTGGGACTGCAAAGAACAAAGCCAGGAGCCCAGTAAGCGATTATCATAGTAGATACAGACAAGCCCCTGTCACACCATCAGAAACTGCTATCTCCAGACCCTCACGGCAAAATCCAATGGGCCATTTTCTGTTCTGATAATTATTTGATCAGCTACATCTGATGAGCTTCCAGCAAACCACATTCTCTTGATCTCACTAGCTGTTCCTTATCTGGAGTCACCTGTTAACTCTGGAGTGGCCTGGGGCAAGGTCCCTAAGTCTGGCTTCTTCTGTCATGGCATTCCTTCCCTTGGTGTCCTCATGCGGCCTTGTGGCTTTACATACCACCTGTGTCAGCAATTCCTGCATGTATATCTCCAGTCCAGATCTCTGTCCTGCACTCCAAGCTCATACATCTCACTGCTTACTTGACACCTCTACTGACATAGCCAATAGAGATAAGTTAACCTGACTCTTCCCCCAATTCTGTTCCTACCATCTACCCCTGTACCTGTTGCTCCAGCCAAAACCCAGAGTCATCTTCGATTTCTCTCATGCCCCTTCCTCATTCTCTCAGGAAACTCTAGTGCCTTTATCTTCAATACGTATCTAGAGTTTCTATACTTCTCACAGCCCACAACCTCATCACAACCATGGCTCAGCCACCATCATCTGTCACTTGAAATACTACGATAGCCTCCAACAGGTCTTTCTGCTTCTGCCCTTATTTGCCCATGATCTATTCTCAGTCTAGTATCGAAAACAATCCTGTTAAAATGTAAATTAGATTATGACATCCTTCTGCGCAAAAACCGCCAATGCCTTTCCAATATTTTTTTATGAGGACCTACAAAGCCCTGCATGATTTAATATGCAGGTATCTCTCTGACTTTACTTTCTATCCCTCCTCGCTCTCTCCTCTCTTCTCCAGCCACTTCTTTCCCACTTTCTATTTCTTGAAATC